ATGGGATCATAATTCTTATGGACTAAATATCAATTTGGGCTTCCTTGATACTTAAAAGTATAGCTTAATAATAGTTTTAAAAACAAAGGAAAGTCATGACCCAATTTTTTAAGGTTTCAAAGCTCATACCATTAAAAAGACGAGTGTGAAAACTAATAAAAATAAAAGTGAGAAGATAAAAATTTGATAAAATTTAAATCAAAATGAAGTAAACAATACTAAAGTTAAATACAATATAAAGTCCAATTAGAAAGTGTTGTTTAAAATATTACAAACTGGTAAACGGGTTTGTGATACAATTATAAAACAAAATACAAAAAATTGCAAAATTTTAAAACAAACAAATGCTTCGGAATGACCTCCTCTATGACCACATGACTACCAAACACTCCTCCACCTGATAGACTGTAAACACCTAAAAAAAAAGAAGTAAAACGGGTGAGTATATGAATATGTCCAACAACTTATTTGTAGCTTTCATCGCATCTTTGACCTAACAGGTGACACGAACAACTTACAAACTCATCAATGAAAATCTACATTTAAAAAAATATATATATATCAAAAGATTATACATTAGAGAGTATTAGCACTCAATTATATGGTCCCATTCAAGGCCATTTTCCCTCTATGTTTGCACATTCTTGCTATTCTTGGTATGTCTGCCACTGAGCACTGGACTTGGTTTGCCATATTTGCGTTACAAGTGCCCTAAAAACGAACAAGATTGGTGGGTGGGGCTTAAATGGGTTGAATATCTATACCACATTGAAATGAGCGAATATGTCTATTATCCACAAATACAAATCAAAAAAATATAATACTCGCGAAGTTTAATGTCGGTGAACTCGAGTAAAAATGGTATATGAATGAACTGATACCACATACGAATGAAAGCGATCCTGATGATAGAAAAACTAAAAAAAGTTTAAAAGAATTTAAAGTTACTGTCTATACTAACAAAGTGTACCTTCATTTTTTGTGGCTCAACCATTAAAAATTCATGGTTAAGCGTGTTTTACTTGAGAAATTATATGTTGGGTGACTTTCTAGTAGAAGGACTCGTGTTGATCTGTAGGGATAGTCTTCACTCTAAAGAAGTGAGGAATTGATAACATGACAATTTCGTAGGGGAATGTCAGGGCAAGAGTCGTTATAGATGGTATCAGAGTAGTACCTCTCCCAATAAGATGTGGTTCGAATATGAACCCAGGCAGAAGCTGGTGGGCATGTGACACCTAAGTAAGGAATGATATATAAATGAACAGACCACCTACGAATTTTTATGATAGGATGGCTAAGAAAGACTTTAATGAATTGAAAGTCATTATCTATACCAACAAGATACATCTTCCTTTCCGATGAACTCAATCATAAGAACCCTTTTAGAAATTTTCTTGAGAGGCATGTGAGCGAAGACAAAACACGTTGAAATCCAAAAGTTTTAGAAATTAAAAATACCTAAAAGTTTTAAAATGAATATATATATATATATATATATATTTATTTATTGGAGTTAAAAGAATATAATTAAAAATATATATATATGGAAATGAATAGGAAATTAAAAATTGTAAATATATAAATAAAAAATTTTAATTTTAAAATTTAATTTTAGAATGATGAGAGGGTAAATGTAGCCCTGCAATGCATGCCCTATTTTCAATGGGCCACATTTATGCTGCTGTTATAAGCCCAATATAAATAATAGATCATCTTTAAACTTTTTATTTAAAAAAAATAATTAATTTCGTCCACCTATTGTAAGTTTTTTTTTTTTCTTTTATTTATTTTTTTAAGTTAACTTCTTTTAAAATATAAGAATATTTAAATTTTATTTTTGATATTTTTATTAACAGGGTTGGTAAGGTATTTTATTTAACAGCAGTGGCAGAAAAGAATAGAATAACGTTGTACAAGTTTTGCCACAAGAAAAACGCTGTCGTTCGACCAAATACGCCAATGCTTGCCATCTTGTCAAGCAATATGATTCGCTGCACGTGCCATTGGTGGGTCCACTTTTGGGCCCACCAAAACTGACGGAGTCAACGATTTAGCCGTCCACCCCTTTTTTTAATTTTCCATTTATGCCCTCTGCCCGGTAAATCACTTTTTTCTCCCTCCTGCTGCCTGCTACTTTTGGTAAGTTCTAAGAAACTAAACTACAAATGGAAAATTCCGAAATGGCAAATGCGTAAATTCGGTCTTGGGTCCACTTATTATTATTATTTTTTTTTTAAGAATAATTCTTCAAATATTCATTAAATTCGAGAATTTTTATTTATTATTGAGTTCCAGCTATGTTTTTACGTTAGTTTATTTAAATGAAATGATTTTAAATAAAGGATAGAATTTTTATTTTCCATTTTTGCCCTCCCCCTTTCTCTCTCTCTCTAATAATTATTATTCTTTGTTCTTTTAAAAAAAATATTTAAAGTTTAATTTAGCATTTTTAATTCATTCATTTTATTTCTTCAACGAACAAAAATACAAACGGTAACTTTCATGACTTCATTTTCATTCTACTTTTTTCTTTTTTTTATTCCATTTTATCTTTTAACTTTAGTAAAAGTTAAAATATTTTATTGGTAATGTGAATTCAAAATTATAAAATTCTATTCGGAGTTAAAAATTGAACTTGAATTCTACTATTCGATGGCCTTGAACTATTACCAATGGTATTAGAGTCAGTCAACGAGGACGCTGGCCTCCAAGAGTGGTAGATTGGGAGAATTCACATCAGTTGGAGAGAGAAACGAAACTTCCTTATAAGAGTGTGGAAACATTTTTCAAGCAAATACATTTAAAAACTGTGAGGCTGATGACGATGTGTAACAGATGGACAATGTCTACTAATGGTGAGCTTGGGTTGTTACAAATTATCACCTAAGTGGTCCCTAACTAGTAAATGCGTCTTTTAGATCAACATGGTTGATATAAAAGATGTGTCAATAAAGCCTCTGAAACGAGGGATGAATATCTTGTTGGTTAATATTTTGTTAGCTATTTGGATAGGTTATTATTGACGGTTATTTTATAACACCCGCCATATAATTACAAATGTATATATTTCATCATCTGAATATAACTTAGTGAGATTTGAATCTCGTGTTACACTAAAAATATCTCACTCTAATATGATAATATTCCCACGATGTTATCTCGTGGGCCCAAATGAGCACGATTTTCAAAGAATAATTATTAAAAAGTATGATAAGACATTGTTATTATCATAGAAAATATTGGTGATAAGAATAAAGGAGAAATCATACCCAATATCGAAAGTAAGAGACCATATTAATTTAATGAAGATTAACCTAAATCTAATTCCAACCGTTAATTTTTTTTTTTTTTAGAGAAATTCTATACAAAATGAAGATCGATGATTAAACTATATATCAACTTATAAATATAAATAAACATAATATTCTACAAGGTATAATATTCAAATCTAATAAATATAATATATATCAATTTTTAGACTAATATTTAATGCCTTTATCTACGAGGTTATAATATTCTTTTAAGTTATTATCGATAGGAAATAATTAATATGGCCTAGATTATTGGGTGAGACTTGAGATGTTTAAACAAGGAAAATTTGCTAGAAACACTACAACCATCAAACCCGTGACCTAGGCCCGAGCTTAGAGGTCGAGGGAAGTTCTCGAGAGGGGGCAATTGTAGGTGGTAAGTTTAGTTTCTTGGTCGAGGGCAAGTCGAAAATTGTGGAAACTCAAAATCAACAAGGACCTAAATGGGTTAGGTTCATTTAGACCAAGAACAATGATCGATGGGATCAAACAAACGTCGAGAAGGCCAACTCTAGGGGTCAACTATGTATATCCTTGTCAATAGAGGCATGGATACTCCAATTTAGTCAACCCTAAGAGACAAAAAAAAAAACATCGTGGACTTTTCAAACTCTTAGCTAGAGATTATTCAGTCAACCTTTATAGATAGACTCGTTTATTTTAACTACTAATCAAACTTGTCAATTTTTTCAAAGATCCATATGTGGACAGAACCTAATATTTAGATATTGTGGGCAAAAGATTTATGGTAGAAAATGGTGTTGTGATGAGGAGATCATAACTAAACCATTTAAACGTGTTATATAAAGAGATTGAACGAAAAATCCCTATAAATTAAGAAATCAAGAGATTGAAACAACACGATTCGACAAATTCTCTAATGAATCCAACTTCCATCTGGCCAAAAGAAGCGAGATAAAAACTATAGACCCATTTGATAACCATTTCATTTTTTGTTTTTGATTTTTGAAAGTCGTACTTGTGTTCACCATTTATGTGACACCCGAGTAAATGAGGGGTACATAAATGAACTGAAACTACATTCAAATGAGAGCAATCCTAAGTATATGATGACTAAGAAAGAGATAAAGGAAACAAAAGTTACTACCTATACCAACAAGATGCACATGAACAATTAGTTTACTTTACTTGGAACAAGTTTATGTTGGCCGACCTCCAGTATGCTAAGAGGACTCGTTTTGGTCTGCATTTTTTGTTTTCAAAACTTGAATTTTGAAAATATTATTAGAAAGTCGAGAACAAGGCAAAGATGATCATAGGTGGAACGAGTATTTATAAGCTTGATTTTGAAAAACCAAAAATAAAAAATCTAACCGTTATTAAACGGACATTAAATTTGGATTAATTTCAAAACGTCCTTTTTATTTTTGTAAATATCAGTAGGAAATGAATAAGAAAAGAAAAATTAAAGATGAAAATAGTATTTATAAATTAAAAAAAAAACAAAATATTAGGTGTTAATTATTAAAATTGGGAAAAAAGTTTCCAATTTAATTTCCAAATCCAAAAACAAAAAAAACGAAAAAAAGCTCAAAGAAGAATCAAAAGGCGCGTCTTCAACACGCTCACGACGACGACGACTGGAGGACTTAAAAGTAAATAACCGAAGTGTAGAAGGGTATAAGTGTCTGCACGACTCTGTACGCCGGACTTTTCAGAATGGAAATTGTAAATACCGCCGGAGGTTCCGCCGTCATTGGTTGTTAGAATTTACATTTCAATTCCACCAATCATATCAATTCAATTTCCCTTTCCTCTCTCTCTCTCTCTCTCTCTCTCTCTTTATCTCTCTCTTCTTCTTTTTTCCAACTCTTGTGACCGCCGGAATCTTGTTCATTTGATTTCTTCACTCGATCGTTCAATTTTCTTAACAGATATATTTCATCCAGAAAAACTCCAGTTCTATCTGACACTTGGAGATTCAGTGAAAGAAAGAGAGAAAAAGTAATGGACTCGCCGACGTCGCGTGGCGGAGGCGATTCAACAACTCGAATCCCGGCTCGATCTTCGATGATTGAGTCATTCAAGGGATGTGGATTGACGGGGATGCGGATTGACAAGGAGAAGTTGAGGAAGCAGCTTCGGATGCCGCAGTATCTTCGGTTTGCTATGCGAGATTCCATCCGGCTGCAGGATCCTGGCGCTGGAGAGAGCCGGTTGCCTGGTGCTAGTTCTATCTCCGGCTCCCCCTTTGCTCAGGATACTGACGATGGACCTCCAGAGTCACCGATGGTGGTGTTCATTAATCCGCGGAGTGGTGGTCGCCATGGCCGCTTGCTCAAGGAGAGACTCCAGATGTTAATTAGCGAAGAACAGGTTCATAAACCTTCCATACTTTCCATGTTGTTTATGCAGTCATAATTACTGTTAGCTCGTATGAGAATTTGAAAGTTCTTCGACTAGAAGGTGCACTTGCATAATTAGGTGTGCGTTATCATACTAAGTATTGCATTCGGATTCAGGGAGTTAGATGCATTGCCCTTTATGAAAAAACTAGTATCTCTATAGTGATCTTGGCGATTGATGAAACATTACAAGTATGCGTATACCACATTAGTTGACTCTTCTAAACGTTGGTCTTGATTAGTCAATAATTTCTGTGCAGGTTTTTGACCTAACAGATGTGAAGCCTCATGAATTTGTCAGATATGGATTGAGATGCCTCGAGTTATTGGCTGGGCTTGGTGATGCTTGTGCCAAAGAGACCCGTGAGAAGATGAGGGTCATGGTATGATTAGAGTGAAAAAGAAATATACAGTAGATCTATAGCAATATGAATTTTGGTTATGGTTCAAACTAAGTGAATTTCCGATGGATAACGGAGCAGGTTGCTGGAGGCGATGGTACTGTTGGTTGGGTTCTTGGTTGTCTTTTAGAACTTGAGAAAAAGGGGCGGCTGCCTGTTCCACCAGTAGGAGTAATTCCTCTTGGTACTGGCAATGACCTATCCAGAACCTTTGGCTGGGTGAGTTCTCCTTTCTCATGTAAATTTCGATCTTTTATATATATATATATCTCATAATTTCTTGATTCGTACGATTCAATGCTCTTTTCAGGGTGGTTCTTTTCCTTTTGCCTGGAAGTCAGCTATCAAAAGATCCCTCGACAGAGCAACCACTGGAAAGATTCGTAGATTGGATAGGTAATCATTCACTTGTGGGATAATTTGGTACTGTCTTCTCACTTCTAAGGCTATCATGATTTGCTGTTGATTTTGAGTTTAGATTTGCATATGTAAATGTTTTGATAGTGCAGTTTTCCGTATATGTAATGGCTAAGAGTGCTTCGTGCCTCTGCATAGTGCAAGCATGAGTTAAACCATTTATTGCTCCTCATAAGTCTGAATATTTTGATGCAGTTGGCAAGTTTTTCTATCTTCGCCGTCTGGTGAAAATATGGATTTACCACATTGCATGAAACCAACAGAAGATCATGCTCTTGATGAGGTTTGTGCATTTTGTTACTTAGCTTTTAATACTACCATAGTCTAGCTTAATACATTCTGGATAGGCTATGAATCTTACCAATGACATTGTTTTTTAATATCTCATATTTCTTTGAATGTTGCTTTTTCTTTTCCAAATAATCTTGTGGCAAGAAAGATTTGTATCTCAGTGGTAAAAGCTTTTTTTTTTGTTTGTGGCCGCAGAGTTTGGAAATTGAGGAGGCATTACCAGAGAAAGCAACCTGCCATGAGGGAGTATTTTATAATTACTTTAGCATAGGTATATTAGGCATTTTCTTTTAAACATTGTGCATACACTAAGGGATGGATACTTTATAACTTAAGCCAATAACACTCGTATCAATGATAAATCTTGAAAAACCATTATGTGCTTGAAAATTTGAAGGATTATGCATTTATTCAGCCATTTACGCAAGTGTCAATATAAAATATTTTGTATGCAGAAATTGATAATAGTGTTAAAATTAAGGAGGCTTGTATGCAGAAATTGATTTGTGTCGATATTAAAGCGGTTTGTTGGCAGAAACTGATTTTTTTTAAAATTAGTTTTAGAAAAGCTCCTCCTGAACAAGTGGAGGGTTATTGTGTACATTATCACTCTACTTTTTATATTTAGCCTATGGACAGTCTGCACCATTTTAGTATACATGTTTAGTCTTTAGCATTACTTGAGTTCTTTTAATTTTCTGCATCTCTTATGGATAATAGGGTTTACGGGGGAATTGAGGTTGTTATACTTGTTTCTGTATTTTATTTTTTCTGCAAAGACCCAGCATTCAAGCAGACTATCTATTGTACTGTCATTGAAATGTCTAAAATGGGCTCGAGCAACAACGGCTAGCTTTAGGCTATTGTAACTGAATTTCTTAGAGGGCAATATATGCTTTGACAAATATGGTTTGTGTCAAAATGCATTTTTGTACTAACGTGGTCTACAAATTTAAATAAAATGCACCTACCTGCTTAATTGAATAGAGGATGGCACTGGTGAATCTCTCTATCTTACGGTTAAGGGAGATAGCTTCGGACCAGAGATATAATTTTCTCGGATGATGGAGTAGCTCCCTTGCAAAAAGAGAGGTTGAATTTACATGTGTTTATCGCAGATGCCATTTTATTTGTTAGTACAACAAAGGAGTGCATTTGTTAATTTCTCGTATCACATTGTTCAAAGAATACAATTTTAAACTCTAATGGTATTTGCATTTGATGATCTTTATTTGATGGTTTGGTCTCTTGTGTGTAAGTAGGTCTATTTATTCATTTTGATTATGCAGGAATGGATGCTCAAGTTGCTTATGGCTTCCACCATCTACGTAATGAGAAACCTTACCTTGCACAAGGCCCAATTGCCAACAAGGTTGGGTTGATAATTTTCCCCCTTTTTAGTATTACATGATTCTATTTCAACGTCTGTATTAGTCTTATTCTTCCTCAACTTCAAACATCTCCTCCTTCTAGAAGTCGGTCTGACCCATGAAGTCGAGACTAATTATCTTGCATTGAGATAAAAACATGAGATGATCGTCATATAGTTACAATATTACCAGAATTGTGCCGCTCTTTTTTATTTTTCGGCTCATCTTTCAAGTCAAAAGGAATCACTAAAGGTTGAACTTCAAAGTTACTTGGAAAGTTGGAGTACTTAATCAATTGATACAGGTCTCCTTTATTCACTTTATTTATGAATTAAAACAACAGACAATGAATTTTGTGTTTCCTTCGATTCTTTTGGGATGAAAGGAAAGTCAAAGTGGATGAGGTGGCAAAGGGAGGTCATTCTTTATCCATCAAAGCTGGAAAAACCTTTTGAGGACACAAAATAGTGGAAACTATGAAAATTCTGGTGAATGATAAAGCACCAGGACTTGATGGATTTATAATGTAGTTCCTTAAAAGATTTTAGGACATTTTTGAAGTTGATTTCTTAAATATGTTCAATGTTTTTTTCTATTGAAATGTAAAGGATGAGTTTAACTAATACATCTCCTATTGCAGCTGATTTATTCTGGCTATAGTTGTGGTCAAGGCTGGTTCTTCACGCCTTGCTCTAGTGATCCGAGTTTAAGGTTAGATATTCTCACGTGAAGTTTCGTTTTAGGTTAATTTGACAGTTTTTGGACTATATTTTTCCTGATTCAGATAATCTTTTTTTTTTTTCCCTAAAAAGAAGTTAACAAAGAATGGGTTTTAGCATTGTTGCTTTGTGAATTGAAAATGAGTTAAAAAAATATAGAAAACAAGAATACTCGATTTAAATTTGCATATCAGATTTTCTAAGAATTTTTTTCTGGTTGTAGGGGCCTTAAAAACATCCTAAGGATGCATGTCAAAAAGATCAATTGTTCAGATTGGGAGCACATTTCAATCCCCTCGAGGTATCATACGCTCTCTCGGCTTAACTTGTATTTTATATGGCATTTTTGAGTTCATCCGTTGAAATAAACAGAATTTTGTTTATTAAACAGTTTCATTGAAAGGCCTATGGTGGTGATTAACTGGGTTGCTGCTTTGTGGCAGCCTAATGGATGCAACAGCATCCGTTAGGAGTATCTAACTATCAAACTAAAATTAACAGCTAATACAAGCTAAACCTTTAGCAGATATTACAAGTATGACCCTGCTATTTTTCTGTGTTTTTATCTGGTTATGAGGAAAGGGTGATTTCGAAGAGGTGAGGTAGAACCATTCATGCAATGCTTTGAAGTGTTTTCCACTATAGGAAATATGTTGGCACTAGCCAGCACCCAATATGTTGCGATTGAAGTCTGATTAAGTTTTTTGAATTCGAGGCGAGGCGATTTTTGCTTCCTAACTATAGGCATGTACCTTATTGTGTGAATCATTTCCTGCAGTGTAAGATCTCTGGTTGCTTTGAATCTCAACAACTATGGTAGTGGCAGACATCCTTGGGGAAATCTGTCCCCAGAATATATGGAAAAGGTATATAGTTCCTTTTTTTTTTTTTTAATTTTTTTTTTTTTACAATTAGATTCTATTTTCTAGCCCAATTCCCCTTGGACTCTAAACAGGGACATACTTTCTGTTTATTGCATTGGCCCTTTTTATTGTGATTCCTGTCCTGAGGAATAGGAGTTTACCTAAATTTTCATTTTGGAATCACATTCCTTGTTGAGGTTGCTTTGGAAGAGAGCGGAGTAAAAAAAAATAGTTTAGTAGTTTAGTAGTTCATCTGTGTATGGAATTATAATATCCAACCGTAACCTGCCAATATTTCTCTCTACTTCTAAATTCGTTATTGAAAACCATAAATACACTTCCAGGAAAGGAATACTTACCTTTCACATTTTTTATTGTCTTTAGAGAGGGTTTGTGGAGGCACATGTTGATGATGGACTTCTAGAAGTTTTTGGTCTAAAGCAAGGATGGCATGCATCACTTGTCATGGGAGAGCTCATCTCTGCTAAACATATAGTTCAGGTAATTCAACCATGTTGGTTTATTAATCAAATTATTAGTGAAAACTCTTGAAGCGTTATATGAATTACAGTTGAAGGAAAATATAGGGGAATGGATGCAAATTTAAAAAATGTTGGTAAAATTGTCTTTGCATACAGGCTGCAGCAATTCGATTCGAACTTCGAGGTGGAGAATGGAGAAATGCATTTCTGCAGATGGATGGAGAGCCATGGAAGCAACCGATGAATGATGAATTTTCGACTTTTGTCGAAATCAAGAGGGTACCATGCCAATCACTAATGATCAGTGGAGAATAATTTGAGAGGTATATTGTTGATGCTGCTGGTAAGTTCATACTGTTAGGAATAACCATTAATGTAAAGTCGTCGGGTCGATCATCCTTTTGAAGGATTGTAAATGTTCTACATTCAACAAGTAATTGTTTAGGTGTGGGAGAGTTCGCTGTTTCAGATTCATTTGGGGGGAAGAACATGTGGTTGTCGTTGGGATTGTTGGCTGAACTACAAATGAGTTGTGATAGTGTCCAAAAGCCTCAAAACGTATTTATTATTTCTACTGTGTGATATTAATTCATTTGACAGTTCATGAAGCTCCCGTCTCTCTATTTTCTGTTCCCTTTCTATTTCTCTCCGTTCAATTTATGGTATATTAATTATGAGTTTGTGATGAACTCTGTAAAGGCCAAAAATGCTTTTGATTAATAACTAGTTTTCTTATTGGCAGCCGCGCCCACTATCACAATTGCACTTTTGATGGCAGCGGACTTGCGATTGTGCGGCACTCACTTTCCAACGATAAGTGAGCTAAGCAAATTCGTTCTTGCGTTGTCTACGGGCAAGCGACGTATGCTCGAGCCTCTGGCTTCGATTTTAAGAGAAGGTTTTAGAAAACGAGGACTGAGAGAGATTTTCGAAAGAGAGATTTTTGGAAGAGACGTTGTATAAGCAAACAAGAGAAATAAAACGGCTGACCTTGGGTAGGAAGAAGTTGACAACTAGTCATATATCCCCTACAGTACAATATATCCCCCTACTGTACATTCTAAGGCATTTTATGTTTGACAGACCTAAACAAGATATTTTTGAAACGTCATACTTCCTAGAAATACAAAAACATTCTGAGACATTTCATGTCTGACAGGTCTAGATATGATATTTATGAAACGTCGTACTCCTTAAACACTAGAATATGAAAAGACATAAAGGGTTGGGCTTGTCATGGACGAGCATGACCGTGACACCCCCATGCTGTGACATTTTCCATTGCCGCCATATCAATTCTTATATATTTCCTTTTCCCTCTTCATCCTTACCTGTTCTTGTTGCCGGAAGGTTTCTGTATCTTTATTGAATGGCATTCTCCATTGCCGTACTCCAATTTCTTTGGGGTTTAGGGTTTCTTCTTTCAATTTCAAGCTTGATCCTCAAACCGTTTCAATTCCATTGTCTTAGGTGTGGTTTTTTATTTTCGAACTTTAAATATTGCCAACCCAACCCTTATAATTCGTCTTGGGCCGGTTTGGGTTGTCGGGTTCAATGTATACTTTTACCTTCGCCTACCACTTAAATACAATCGATTCAAACCTAAAGATGTCTATTTAACTCACAATAACTCATCAAAAGAGACGAGGAATAGAAGAGGGAGCATGAAGAGATTTCTCAATTAGGGACAATACATTCTCTGTTCCAATCCCGACCCTCGAAACCCTGCCCTTGCCCCCAATCATATCTTTGTATATAAATATCAAATGGGACCAATTAAAAAGTGAAAGAAAGGTGCATTCTGAAGGCTTATGTTTGTAATAATAGGGTGAACAAGAAGTGTTATTTGGCTTTGATGGCAAGACAAATCATAAAATGCATCATTTCTCTTCCTCCTTTGCTTCTTCCTCAAAGCACCCAACCACAACACTTCAATGCCCTTTGAGTTTCAAAAAGAGAGAGAGAGGGTTTTGATTTATGCTTCCTAAACAAGAATATTGGAATCAAAGCTATGCCTAAGGTGGCCTCACACTTCAACTAAAACTTAATCATTTTCTTGCATCTCCCCATATTGCTCCTTTACCCTTCATACATATACAAACAACATAACACAACTTCTCTTGCATTTACACTCCCAATCCAATATTACATCCACATGGGCTTCTCCTCGCCTCTTAACATACTCGTCGGGATCCCTTCCGACGACGTCGACCAGGGCAAGGAGCTTCTTTCTTGGGCCATCACAGTTCTTGCTCATCAACATGACTGCATTGTTGCTACTCATGTTCTTGGTTACTATCATTTTCTTCACCCCCACCTTCACTTCAACTACCAACTAACTTTTTGACATCTTTTCTTTCAATTGAATCACAGTCATTGATGATACGAAGAAGCGTGGATCGACCTCCATGACGATGAAAATTCAATCGCAACTTCGTCGAGCCAAAGCCTACGTCATATCGATTCTCGGAGAGTTCGCTAGCATTAGCCAATCCAAACAGGTGAATTGACTATACTATAACGATGCTCTTATTATGATATTGTCTAATTTGAACTTAAACCTACCCGTTATTTCTAGGTAAATTTGGAAGCGCGGGTTGGTTTTAACTCGAGCGTTGGACGAGGTTTGATTGAAGAAATGAACTCGATTTCAGCTGACTTTCTCGTTCTTCGTGGTGCGAGAAACAGATCAAACAGGTAGGGAAGAAGCTCAAATTCTACAAGATATTTTGTTTATAATGGAAATTTAATAAGTTGAACTCTCAGCATTACAAGGTACTGTTTTGAGAATGCTCCTGAGAGATGTACTCTGGTGTTCTTGGGAAAGCAAGAACAGCTAAAACAAAATTTGGGCTCTGATTCTCTTCAATCCAATGGTAAAATGAATTTAAGTTTGATAATCATGTTCTTAGCTGGTTGAGCTTAATCATTTGCAAACGCAGGGGAAGTTTTCAGAGCTCAAAAATCAGAGAGAAACAGAGGCGACGATGAGGTGGAAGCCTCCGGCGACTCCATTTCCAACACGACGACGGAGGACGACTCCTCCACGTCCGGAGACAGCAGCACAATTGGGTCTCCACCACCACTAAGTTCCCCTTTTAAATCCCAATCCGGCGACCGACGGCAGCGACTGTCGCCGTGTAAACTGATATCATCGTTCATTGGGTCGCCATTTCGGAAGAGAAATTGTAGCTTTTCTGAGAAGCGATCGGCTCAGCCTTTGTTGAGATGTTTCAGCTATGAAATGATTTTGAATGCTACTAATAACTTCCACCCAGGTTTGTGTTCAGAAGCTCTGTTTTTTGTTTATGGTGATTTTGTTTTGATTGATTTGGTTTTGTTTGGGGTTTGATATCTCAGAGAACATGGTGGGGCGAGGTGGGTATTCGGAAGTTTACAAAGGAGAGCTATCTGATGGGAAGATGATTGCGGTGAAGAGACTGACAAAGGACAACAAAGATGGTAACAAAGAGAGAGAGTTTCTTATGGAACTTGGAATAATTGGGCATGTCTTTCATCCAAACACTGCTTCCTTGGTTGGCTGTTGCATTGAAAATGGTCTTTATCTCATCTTCAACTTCTCCCAAAATGGAAACCTTTCTTCTGCATTACATGGTAATTAACGTTCAAATCTTCGTAGTTGTCTTGTTACATTAAACAAATTGTTAAATTTTGATGCATGTTAGATTGATTTGATCAAAAAGTGAATAGGTTTCCATTTAGAAAAAATGATAGAATGCAATGGGTTAACGCAAATGACGGGCGGGTTATAGGGTAGTCCAACCCCACTACTAGTAGACATATTGTCACCTTGGGCTTGTTCGAAACTGCTAGGAACAGGTTTCCACATCCTTATAGACAATGTTTCCTTTTCCAGATGTGGGATCTTATAATCCAACCCCGGGTCTAGCGTTCTCATTGGTACTCATTCCCTTCTCTAATCGATATGAGACCTTCCAATCCACCCTTCTTTGGAGCCAACGTCCTTGTTGACACACTATCTCGTGTCCACCCCCATTCGAGGCTCAACCTCCTCGCGGACACCTCACCCAGTGTCTGGCTCTGATACCATTTGTAACAGCCTAGGCCCACCCGCCCACCACTAGCCGATATTGTTTTCTTTGGACTTTCCCTTCCATGCTTCTTCTCAATACTTTTAAAACGTGTCTACTAGAGAGAGACTTTCACACCCTTATAAAGGGTGTTTCGTTCTCCTCCCTAACCAACGTGGGATCTCACAATCCACTTCTCTTTGGAGGCTAGCGTCCTCGCTAGCACTCATTCCCTTCTCCAATCGATATGAGACCCCCAATCCACCCTCATTCGGGCCCATATCCTTGTTGGCACACCACCTCTTGTCCACTCCCCTTCGGAGCTCAACCTCCTCGCTGGCACCTCACCTGGTGTCTAGCTCTAATACCATTTGTAAATAGCCCAAGCCCACCGTTAGCACATATTGTCCTCTTTAAACGTTTTCTTCCGGGCTTCTTGCTTCTCTTCAAAGTTTTTAAAATACGTCGGTTAAGAAAAGGTTTCCACACCCTTAGTAAGAGTGTGTCGTTCTCCTTCCCAACCAATGTGGGATCTCGCACGAACAAATACTTTAGAAACAAACGCCCAAACCGAAACATTAAATCTTCTTATGTCACTAAATGTTCGAATATAACATCAAAAAGAATTTATATATAAATTTGACAGGGAAAACAAGCAAAACATTGGAATGGTCAGTGAGATACAAGATTGCTGTGGGAGTTGCAAGGGGTTTGCATTATCTCCATGAATGTTGCAAACATCGCATAATCCACAGAGACATCAAAGCTTCTAATGTCCTTCTAGGCCCTGATTATGAACCTCAGGTAAACATGCATGAATTTTGATGCACAAACTCATTTGTTCTTAGTAAACTCACTATTGATATGTATTTTGTTGGTGTGTGAGGCAGATAACAGACTTTGGGCTAGCAAAATGGCTTCCAAACAAGTGGACACACCATGCAGTGGTACCAATAGAGGGCACATTTGGGTACTTAGCGCCAGAATATTTCATGCATGGCTTTGTGGATGAGAAAACTGACGTTTTTGCATTTGGAGTTCTTCTTTTGGAGATTGTCACTGGCAGAAGGCCTGTGGACTCATCCAAACAGAGCCTTCTCTTGTGGGTAATAACAATCCCCATCTTCATCTCTTCACTATTTATAAAACAGAACAAAGGACATTGTGGTTTAATTTGGACTTGAACAGGCAAAGCCTCTGATGGAGTCGGGCGAGATCGGTCAGCTGGCTGACCCAAAGCTCAAATGCTACAACGCAAAAGAGTTGCAGCGAGTCGTGTTGGCTGCTTCTTGCTGCGTTCGACAGTCGTCGGTCGAGCGCCCATCGATGAGCGAGGTATGCTCCAACAATGTTAGGATGTTTTGCGATTGAATTAGGAATTGGATGAACATTAGAGCATAGGAATGTCGAGTGTCGTTTATCTTTTGATTAATGACATATATCTTAATCAATTGAATAATTTTGACGTAGATATTGGAGGTGCTAACAAAAGGCCATGATTCAGAGATAGCAAAGAGCTTGAGCATGCCAAAGTTGAGCTCTGATGATGATGATAA